GGGTTTGACGCGCTCTGCTGGAGCTGCTGGAGTTTCCTGAAGTAGGTCGTGTAGGCCTTGCGCTTCGTGTACTCTTGAGGGGTGGTCCGGCTTTTGATGAGGTCGGACGACTTGAGCTCGTGCTCATTGATGCAACGCATCTCTGACTTGTCTTTGGACCAGTCAAGTCTGTAGTCCTGCATATCAACGTTGAAATGCTTGGCCAGCGCGGTAACGAAATGTCCAAGTGCCAGTGTCCCACGCTGACTGAGTGCGATATCCTCCAAGGAGTTCTGGAGGAAGGTCATAGAGCACACCGACACGCCGGCTCGCATCGCCCAGAGAAGGAAAAGTTCGATCTCGCTCACTTTATTCGCTTCCTTCTTCCCGGAAATATTGTAACAAATGAACTTGTGCATGACCGCGGTGGCTAAGTCCTCGATTAGGCCGTTGGGCATGCCGGCGGAATCCCACTTCGTGTGCGGTGAAAGTTCGGCCCAACACTTATGAGCATCGAAATCAAGGGACTTGTGTCTCGTCCCGGAGAAATTGAAGCCACACACTCTCTTCATAACCGCGTTGTCCACCGTGTACTCCTTCCCCCAAAACCGACAAGTAAAATACTCGTTCCCATCAGCGAGTACAAATGAGCTGAAAAACTCAAGCATTAGGCCTCGATACGACGGCTCTTCGAGCTTGGCATACTCGGTAAGGTTGAGAACTTTGAGGTACTTCATCACGTCCTCGAGAATGCCCAAGTCATTCAAAAGATTCCAGTCCACCGCCTTAGGCCGCACCACCTCTTTTTGCGAGAGGCGGGAGTACGTTTCTCCTTCCTTCCGGGAATAAATCGAGAAAGGGGCACCGAATTGGTCCGAGAGATCATCGTCCAAATGAGCTTGTCGTGAGGAGGATTTGGTCGCTTTACGCTTCTTAGCCGGTTCGGCTTGAGTGGCCTTCTTTTTGCCCATTGCAAAAGAAGTCGAATTTCGTTCGGGCAATTTATCGAACACCTTGTGTGTACTAGTTTGGAAATCAAGCTTTGATGTAGGAAACAATGGTGAAGTCCCAACAATTGTCTTTTCTTCGTCCTCAATGCATCATCAACAACACAATACGATAATTTTTGCAAGACAATAAGAAGAAGCTCGATTACCGAACGTTGGACCCTCTTAAAGATGTGGCTGCCGTGAACTGATCCCGGAGATGACGGATGGAGGTTGAAGTTAGAGTGCTGTGAATTTCTGCTGGTAACCGGCGAGAGCAACGGCAAGAATCACTGGTGAACGCGACGCCGGTGAATATGTCGGAAAATTTAGAACTAGGGTTCGCGATCTCCCACACTACCCCGTCAGAAAATTGTTGTGCACCGGCCCCGGCGAGATAACGGTGATTACTTGAAGACGGTGGTACAATTTGGCAAGAAACTTGTGGAAGATTTGATCTTGGGCGATGATTGAGAGAAGGGGAACAAGAATCGTCTTTTGAAGTGAGAATTTAGGTGCTTGTGAATGTCCAAGGTCTGAAAATTATGCCCCTTAAATCGCTGTGTCCGCGGCCGCGACATTTTCATAGTCGCGACTTAATCCCTTCGCCGCGGCCGCGACATTCCTCCGCGGCCGCGGAATTTTGGCTCTGTCCCGTCGCTCCTTTTTACAGCTTTTTACTCACCGCGGCCGCGACACAGCTCCACGGTCGCGGAATTTCGGCTCTGGACCGTCGCTCGATTTTCTTGGTTTTTAGTCACCGCGGCCGCGGAGAAGAGCTGCTTCGCGGCCGCGACTTGGTTCATGGCCACAGGAATTGTCCGAGGCCGCGGAAAATCTGCTCTGGACATACGAAGGCCTGCATCGAAAAATGGTCGCCGCGGCCGCGGCTAAGGGAAGCCCGCGGCCGCGGCCAGCAAAATATTTTTTTATATATATATATATATATATAAATAGAAGAAAATAGAACTAATACACAGCAGTACAAGGATACTCAGTTTAATGCCGGGAGCTCGGCATAATTTCTCGATCACGCATAGATAGGGTCGCCGAGACTGACGGTCTCGACATGCCTCTTTCCGAATTCGCCATCATAATATGGTTTCACTCTCTGCCCGTTAACCAAGAATAAATCGTTGTTTGCCGGATTACGCAAACGGACATCTCCAAATGACAACACCTCATCAACAATATACGGCCCACTCCAACGGGAGTTGAGTTTTCCGGGAAAAATATGAAGGCGAGAATTAAAGAGAAGTACCTTCATCCCGGGCTCGAGGTTCTTTCGAACAAGAGTGGCATCATGAAGCCTTTTTGTCTTCTCCTTGTAGATTTTGGAATTCTCGTAGGCTTCGTTTCTCCATTCTTCTAATTCCGAGAGTTGCAGCATCCTTTCTCGTCCGGCAGCATCAAGATCGAAATTCATCTTTTTGATTGCCCAGAATGCCTTGTGTTCGATCTCAACTGGCAAATGGCATGATTTCCCGTAGAAAGCCGGAACGGGCTCATCCCCAATACTCCCTTGTATGCCGTCCTTTGGGCCCAGAGTGCATCATCGAGCTTGCTCGACCAATCCTTCCTAGAAGAATTCACCGTCTTCTCAAGAATAGTCTTAATCTGCTTGTTGCTCGTTTCTGCTTGCCCCGACGTCTGCGGATGGTATGGGGTGGCCACCTTATGCGAAATTTCGTATTTCTTCATCAACTTCTCAAAAATCCGGTTGCAGAAGTGTTTGCCTCCATCGCTCACAATGGCACGTGGAAATCCAAACCTGCTCAAGATATTTCCTCGCAAGAACTTAATAACCACATTAGCATCACATGTCCGTGTGGGGATAACCTCGACCCACTTGGACACGTAATCTACAGCAAGGAGGATATATTCGAAACCAAAAGATTTGGGAAACGGTCCCATGAAATCAATGCCCCAAACATCAAAAATTTCAACCTGTAGATTATTCACAAGGGGCATTTCATTCCTAGGACCAATGTTCCCAAGTCTTTGGCATCGATCACAGGATTTACAAAAGCTATGAGCGTCTCTAAAGAGTGTTGGCCAAAACAAACCTGATTGGAGGACTTTAAAGGCGGTTTTTCGACCTCCAAAATGTCCTCCACAATTGAACTCGTGGCAAAAAGTGAGAACATCTGCTTGTTCGTCCTCGGGCACACACCTCCTTTCCCACCTTGAAAAGGAGTGGGTCATCCCAAAAGTAACTCCTACACATCAACACAAAACGTTTCCTCTCTTGGTAAGAGAGGTTAGCCAACAAGACACCATCTGACAAGTAGTTGACAATGTCAGCATACCAAGGGACACTAGACACTTCACTCGCATGCTCATATGGGAAGTCATCATTTATACCAGCATGTTCATGCAATGCAAGAGAAGGTTCAGAAGGGACAATACGAGACAAGTGATCAGCAACAACATTTTCACACCCTTTTATATCTCTAATCTCTACATCAAACTCTTGTAAAAGAAGAATCCACCGAATAAGCCTAGGTTTCGATTGAGTTTTACTCAAAAGATACCTAAGAGCTGCATGGTCTGAATGCACAATAACTTTAGACCCTAAGATATAAGACCTAAATTTTTCAAGAGAAAACACAACAGCCAAAAGTTATTTCTCAGTGGTAGTATAATTCAATTGGGCCCCATTGAGAGTCAAACTAGCATAATAAATCACACGAAGCAATTTATCAACTCGCTGACCCAAAACGGCCCCCACAGCAAGGTTTGATGCATCACACATAATTTCGAAAGGTAAAGACCAATCAGGTGCAATCACAATAGGAGCAGTCACAAGCTTATTCTTCAATTTATCAAAAGCCTCTAAACATGCATCATCAAATATGAAAGGCACATCATTAGCAAGCAAGTGACACAAGGGCTGACTTATTTTTGAAAAGTCCTTAATAAATCTTCTATAGAAGCCAGCATGACCCAAAAAACTTCGAACACCTTTTACATTCACAGGCGGGGGAAGTTTTTCAATAACATCTATTTTAGCTTTGTCAACTTCAATCCCCCGACTAGACACCACATGACCTAGCACAACACCACTAGTCACCATAAAGTGACTCTTCTCCCAACTCAAAGTCAAGTTCGACTCAATGCATATTTCAAGAACACGAGATAAATTATGGAGACAATTAGAAAATGAAGTACCAAAAATTGAAAAGTCATCCATAAATACCTGTAAGCAGTCCTCGAGCATATCAGAAAAGATAGAGAACATGCACCGTTGGAAAGTCCCGGGTGCATTGCACAGGCCGAAGGGCATACGTCTGAAGGCAAATGTGCCGAATGGGCACGTGAAGGTCGTCTTGGGTTGATCCTCTAGAGCTATGGCCACTTGGTAGTAGCCTGAGAGTCCGTCGAGGAAGCAATAGAACTGGTGGCCGGAGAGTCGGTCGAGAATTTGGTCAATGAACGGCAACGGAAAGTGGTCCTTCTTGGTCACGGCATTGAGTCGCCGGTAATCAATGCACATTCGCCACCCGGTAGTGATACGGGTGGGGACCATCTCTTTCTTCTCATTCTCAATCACCGTGATGCCCCCTTTCTTCGGCACCACATGAATGGGGCTGACCCACCCACTATCTCCCACCGGATAAATGAGGCCCTCGGAGTAAAGTTTCAGCACTTCCTTCTTTACTACCTCCATCATGTTCGGGTTGAGACGCCGCTGGCTATCCCGAAATTGCTTGGCACCGTCCTCCAAAACAATTCGATGCATGCAAGTAGAAGGGCTGATCCCCTTTATGTCGCCAAGGCTCCAACCGATGGCCTTCTGGTTTTTCTTTAGTACCTCAATCAGTTCCTTCTCCTCTTCCCGGTTGAGCTCGACAAAGATTATCACCGGCTTTTTCTTCTCGTCATCAAGAAGACATATTTGAGGTGACGAGGCAACTCTTTTAACTCTATTGCTGGTGGGGTTATCGATCTCGGCTCTTCAACTTCCATCAACTCAATAACCGGTCCTTCCTCTTCCTCAAGTTCGGGCATCAATCTCTCTTCCAAATCTCGAACGGCTACCTCTTCCACAAATGGGTCACTCACATCTATAAAAGCACACTCTTCCACAAAGTTCACCGAGGATGCCGAGGTGGCTTCTCGGACGGAAATGGACACGGATTCACCTAGGACTGTCATGTTCAACGTCCCATTCCTTACGTCAATGAGTGTGTTGGTAGTGGCCATGAATGGTCTACCAAGAAGGATGGTGTGATCCTTCCCATTCTCTTGAACGTCCCTCACATCTAGTACCACAAAGTCTACCGGGACAATGAGTCTCCCAACACGAACAAGGACATCCTCAACTACCCCCTTGGGGTATCTGATTGAATGGTCTGCGAGCTGAAGACACATGCGAGTGGGTCTCAAATCTCCTAAACCGAGCCGCTGGAAGATAGAAAACGGCATGAGGTGGATTCCCGCTCCGAGGTCGAGCATCCCCGAAGCCTCTTTTCCATTCCCAAGAGAAATCTTTATCACGAAACCTCCGGGGTCTCATTCCTTCTTTGGAAGATCATGCTGCATGGCACTCGCTGCCTCATAAACCACCACTTTCTCCCCATCTCCGAACTTCCTCTTCTTCGTGACCAAATCTTTGAAGAACTTCACATAAGAAGGCATGTTCTTGATCACGTCTAGAAGAGGTAAGTTGACATTGACCTTTGAGAGCATGTTGTAAAGATCTCGGAACTGTTGCTCTTGCTTCTCGTCTCGGAGTCTACTCGGGAAAGGGATGCGTGGCTTGTAAGGATTTGGAGACTTGTGAAGCAGAGGACTCTCTGCTGGTTTTCCCGAGTCGGTTTCTATGCTCTTCGTACTCTCCTCGGGTTCTTTGGGCTGGTCGGTTGATTTGGGGCCATTAGGATCGGGCATTCTCACTTTGTTGTCCACTTTCTTCCTGCTCCTCAACACTGTTATTGCCTTGGCTTGCTCAGGCTGACTCGGAAGTTTTCCCTTGTCGGATTCGGCCTCCATATTCCCAACTCTCGTGGCAAGTTGGCCCACTTGCGTCTCAAGACGCTTAATGGACGAGTCCTGGTTGGTGATGAACTGAAGGATCTTGTCCAGCTTGTCATCTTGGTTCGATGAGCTCGAACCAGACTCTTGGGCTTGTTGTTGCGGTTGCTGCTGTTGTTGGTAGTTGGGACGAGGGATGAAATTGGGACGAGGTTGTTGTTGCACGAAGTTTGGACGGGATTGCTGCTGGTTGAAGTTTGGGCGAGGTGGCTGGAGGGTGTTGTTTTTGTTGGACCACGAGAAGTGTGGGTGGTTTCTCCACCCGGGATTGTAAGTGTTGGAGAAGGGGTCGTTTGGCTGTCGGTTCTGATATCCTTGGAGAGCGTTGACATCGGCGTATTGCTCTCCAAGGTCCTGATCGAATGTCGACGGGCACACCTCTGACCGGTGCCCTTGGGCTCCACACGCCCCGCATGTATCCACTGCCATGGTCTGGGCTGGCTGCATTGTCCTAGCGTTCATTAGCCTCATTTGCTCCATAAGCTCAGCTATCTGAATAGCCATCATGTCTTGCCTCGGAGATGCCACATTCACCACCGCTCTCTTCCCTCGACTGCTCTTCTGAGATGAGTTGGCAGTCATCGTCTTAAAAATCTCATACATCTCTTCGGCAGTCTTCGCACTAATGTCTCCCCCCGCAGCAGTATCAACCATATATTGCAAATTCTGATTGAGGGAGTCGTAGAAACAATTCATCACCAGTCCTGGCGAAAGATTATGGTGAGGGCACTGCCGCTGGAGATCCTTAAATCGCTCCCAGGCCTCGTGAAGGGGCTCACTCGGTAGTTGGGAAAACGAGACAATCTGCGACCAGAGCTCCTGAGTCTTTTGGTGGGAGTAGTATCTCCCAATGAACTTCGTGTAGACTTAAGTCCAGGTGGTCAGAGATGCTGGTGCAAGTGTCATGAACCAGGCCTTGGCCCGGTCTTTCAACGTCTCGGGGAAGCACCTCATCTTCAATTGATCCTCGTTCAGCCCGTTGAGAGGAAAGGTGTTGAGCACATTGTAGAACTCCCTGATGAAGTTAAGTGGATCTTCACTCAGGAGCCCATGGAATGCCGGCAGCTGGTTATAGTGAATCATCTTCAGCTCATAATTTCGTGCTTGATCCGGCAAACGGATGCACGAAGTGACAGGCCCGATAACCGGCTGGGCTAAGGTTCGGAGAGTGTTACGAGGAGCTTGTTCCTGTTGGTCACCCATGTTGACGTTGCTGCCTTCTGACTATTCTGGAGAGTGCTGGTCTCTTTCTTCGAATTCCAGTGTAAGCTCGTCTAACAGCTCTCTCAGACTCTCGCTAACTGACTTGTTGATCGGGGATAACAACTTGCGTCCACTCCTGGTACGCATACACTAAACCAACAAGAGTTACGAGCACCAATGATAAAAATAAAATAAAAACAAAATAAAACAAGGACTAATATCTAACAAATAAAAAGAAAACAAGAGAAACACTGAAACAAGAGAAATCACAAGAATTAAGAGAAACACGAAAAACAAGATGAATAGGCGCACAAAATAAACCTAAACCTTCCCCGGCAACGGCGCCAATTTGTTGTAAATATTTTTTTTAACCGGAGTAGAATCCAAAGATTCGACACCGAGTCGTATCACAAGGAAGGTTAGCCGAATTATTCTATGCGAATATTCAATCACACGAAATAATGAAAAAGTCCTAAACACTCTAATACGATTGATTTGGTTTAATATTATCAACTACGAATTGAAAAGCAAAATAGGAAAAACTAGGCAAAACTAGGAATCACAAGTTCAAACTCAAATAATTATAAAGGAGCTAGGGTATCGGGGTCAATCAATTCCGGTTCTCAATGCACTCAACGAGCAAACAAAAGCTCGGTTAAAGGCCTCACAAAACTATTCATCTAGAGACCTATCCTCAATAACTTTTCGTAACAAGAGGATAGACATAGACGAGTAATTCTTGAGACAATCAACACATAAGCAATACTATAACGAACTAGCTTACTCCTAACGAGCCTAGATCGAACGATTTCTCCCTTTTCAGTTATAAAATCGATTAATTAGATTAAGATGGTGATCAAACATCAAAACCCTAGGCTAAGCACAACTCGAGAGGATAGAGCAATTATCATGCACAAGAACAAAATCGAACCGGAATGATCTTCCTCTAACCCTAGCTAATGGATTTAGCTACTCATCATGCATTCAACATCAACAAACATAATAATCAAAGCCATTCAATCAATAATAAAACCAAATGAAAACTTATGATTGAATATTCCAACGTCGAAAACAAGAGCAACCCAATCCAAAAGTCGAATCTCGGAGTTTTTCTCTCCAAGATCGAATCACAAGATCAAAAACAAAAGAAAAGTTGAGTTTTGGATGGAAATCCCTAGAGAGTTCAAAAACTAGATCCAAAAACGAATGAATCGATCAAAATAAAGTCTGCTGTTTTAAAAATCTGAATTCGCGCCTTCCGCGGCCGCGGACAAGCTCGCGGGCCGCGGTGAAGGGATGGTCCACGGCCGCGATATGTCCCGCGGCCGCGAATTTTCAGCTCTGAGGCATGGCTGTGACTTCCGGACTTGTACCCACGCATCCAGACTCGGAATTGGATCCCGTCTTTTTCTACTCGACCCCAACTCATCCGTCTAGGTATAATCCTCGCATGGCCGCTTCCCAACTGAGCTACTTAACCTGCAAACCACCACCGACAAGAAAAACGTAGAAAACCGAGAAAAAAAAGAAGCAAGAAAAACCAAAAATGAGCAAAATAAAGAAAACACACGACGCGACACAAGATGGACCAAGAACAAAAGAAAATAACCTAGAATGGGGAAAAATGAATGCAAAATAAACAAGGAAAACACGACAAAAATGGAACAAACACCGAGCTCACCATCTTCAAACCGAGGTCACAACAGACCAAAGTCCGATCTCATCGCCATGGCCGACTTTGCTAACTCTACACTTGCGGCCTGACTTTATCTTCTTCGGCCGACTGCCAAGATGCCAAACTCAGTTGGGGCCGACCTCACTCCATCACGGTCCGACAGAACTGGCTTCATTTCAACATCGACAGCCGATTTTGCAACTCGCCAACAAAAATCGATCTCGCAAATTGCCGCGCCGGAATCCGACACCAAAGAACGGGCTTCCGCTTCTCGCCGACTTTATTCATCGCAAATTGGGATCGGAAAGTCATACTCTCGGCCAGATCATCAAAATACGCTATCAGATCCGGCGAGTTTTTTTGTCGTTCTTTGCCGATAAGAATGAAGTGAAAACAAGAAACACATGGACCGAATGTCATCAAATTCATTTATTAGATGGATCAGGCCCAGATAAAACTCACTTTGGGCCAAAACTAACTACTGCCTAATAAAATCCACTTCGGGTTCAGATCTTCCACCTAAGTAAAGAGAAATGGGCAGCTTGAGAAAAAGAAAAAGGTCAACCTCATCTATTTACTTCGAGCCAACATATTTTCCACTTGAAGAGCTAGTCCTGAGTGAATGAAACGATTCATCGGCAAACAACCCACTTCTATCAGACTGATTTATCATTTGCTAGTCTTCAATCTCACTTACCTACAGACGATAGCTGGGGCCGGGTTTATTTATTTCAGCACTAGATGGGGGCGGAGCTCATTTACACCAGGCCGAATTTGTCAACCTCGGGGCCTAATCCATCTATACCGAGGCTGAATTCATTTTTCGACGCCGGAGCTAACACAACTTATTCATGACGGAGCCGAACTCATTTATATATGCCAGAGCCGAAGTCATTGATTTATGCTCGGAGCTATCATGACCTATCCATTCACGCGGAGACTGAGCATCTCTTTACGACGTTACCATATTATGCTCATCGTAGAGCCTCGACTCCGGCTGAGCCGACAGTCCCATTTCGCTCTCCGTAGAGCCTCGACTTTGGCTGAGCCGACGTCCTCATATTTCGCTCTCCGTAAAGCCTCGACTCCGGGTGAGCCGACGTCCTCATATTTCGCTCGCCGTAGAGCCTCGACTCCGGGTGAGCCGACGTCCTCATATTTCGCTCGCCGTAGAGCCTCGACTCCGGCTGAGCCGACGTCCCTATTTCGCTCGCCGTAGAGCCTCGACTCCGGCTGAGATGACGTCCACATTTCCTCGCCGTTGAGCCTCGACTCCGGCTGAGATGACGTCTATATTTTCTCACCGTAGAGCCTCGACTCCGGCTGAGTCGACGTCCCTATTTCGCTCGCCGTAGAGCCTCGACTCCGTCTGAGACGCCTTTCCTATTTTCTCGCCGTTGAGCCTCGACTCCGGCTGAGCGGAAGTCAATATTTTCTTACGTTGAGCCTCTGCCCCGTATTGTCCTACCGTCGAGCCCCTGCTCCGGCCGCAAAAAAGAATTATCACAAAAAAAATCCGAGCAACAGTTCGGTACCGATGTAAACATTATGACACTCGGTTTCGCTGGTACCCCGTAATACATCCAAATCCCACGTATGGTTTGGTTGGGCTAAAGCTCGTCAGACGTCACTTCAGCTAACATGATTTGACGGGTCCCGATGACAACCGAACACTCATTCAAACAACTCGGTTGGGGCCGTTCCGTAATCGAACCGTGACGAAGTTCGGTGACCCTTAGTTTTTCAACATCAGACTCAGAAAAGTAATTCAGACTCGACAAAATATCGAGGTATCCTTATTTATCGTACATTGATCATTTACTGCCCATGCGCACTACGCATCGACATACTCAGTAATGCATTCATACATTCATACACACGCGCGTCACGCATCCATTCATTACATATGCGCATCGGACATACATCTTAACGTCCAAATCAAAAGAAAACAATAAACCAAACGCCTTCATCTTTTTGGGCCCACACTGGTTAGGCAAAGTCAATAAGACCTCTCCGGCTGGGAAATATGTGAAAGAAAAAATCATTACACCGAGTTCTTCAGCTCTGTATGACAAGGCTGATACCCATGCCTTTACCGAACTCTTCAGTTCGGTAGACTAAAATATTTATTTTCACCAAGTTCTTCAGCTTGGTAGGTCTAGAAAGTCTGTCCCTGACCGAGTTCTTCAACTCGATGGGCAAATATATCATATCGATAACATCTTTGAAAAAAGATCGATAGCAATACAAGGGGCCCGAGTGCCCGCACTAGCTCAAATCTATACTATTATGATGATCATTTCAGACGCAAACATCCAACGCGTCCTATTACACACGAAAACCGGGTACCGAATTACCCGACCAGGCCAACCAGGCCCATTCATATAGCATTTTCACATAGCTGACTATCCACGCAGTCGACTCCACTCGTTAGAACAAAAAACACGATTACCGTCAATACGGCAGGCCAAAGCCTGGAACCGATCCACGAAACGTTTACGGGTCCCAAAGCACCCGGCCAACATCGATACATTATTTATCACAGCTAAATTGGCTATACACGTGACTTCAGAACAGTTCTATTCAGAACATGTCCTAAAGTCAGGGGCCTACTGTTAATACCCAATTTTGGCATTGCCTATTAAAATATTACACGTGGAT